AAAAAAAAAAACGTCAAACGAGAGTCAAAAGAGAGACGTCCAGGGTTCTATGGTTGCCAGGGCTCCAGTAGAATCAGAAACGAAGCGCCAGAGCTGGCAAAAGAGATCCAGCCCAGCGAGTCCAGGGAGGGCTGCGGTAGGAAAAACCTTCAGATGGCAGGCGGGTGTGCAATGTGAAGAAATTCTGCAGGAACACGCTCAGATGCTTCTCAAAAGCCAAAACAGCCCCAAAAGCTCTGCGTTTTAGCCACCCAAGCACAGATAGATCCCGCCGATCGACACCATGCCATTCGCCAAACCCAAAACCTGGAGACAAAAACTGGAAGTTTCATCAAACCTTTGGGTGCCTTATCTAATTAGTGCTCCCGTTTGACTAGAGACTTGTCCCACAGTCTAGGAAATTTCCGGTGTTTTGGGTCTTTTTTCTACGGGTCCTGCATTTTTTGGAGCTCCCAAGGGCCGGCTAACCTTCCAAGCTAGATGGCGCAGCCCTGCGCAACAGCACCACCGCTTCAACGGCTAACTGGAAGATCCCAAACAGAAACTCCGACACCGCCGATGTCGACTAGCTGGATTCCTGAGATCGCGAAGACCCGAAAGCACTGCAAAAGGCCCGAAAGCCCCAGGCCCTAAGTCAAGAAGCCGTCATGCCCAGCACAATGTCCCCACTTCCGAAAAGGAATCCTTTGATGGCGCGGCAGGCGAAACCCAAGGGCCAACTCCAGACCTGTCTAGTGTTTAGGGTTTGGAGTTTAGGGTTTAGCGGAGGCATTAGTACTAGAATTGTTGTTGTTACAATTATTGCTTCCGACTATGTACCAATAGTCTGGCAGGATGCTTCCGGCGTTCTTTGGATGAAAGACTCAAGACTCAAGAGCTCTTACAAGGGTTGGGGTTTTGTAGGACATGATGGCTTTCCTCTGGGTCATGGGTTTCAGTTTCGATAACAGGGACGTGCAGCAGCGAGTGGAACTGGCATTGCTCAACTTGGAATCAAGCTCTTCTAGAAGTGTTCCCGACAGGAAGTGATCTCCCGGTTTAAGCACGTGCCACTGGCTATTCCGATGCCGAAAGATTGATAAAGATGTGAGCCTGGGGTAAGAAACCTCATGCGTTTCGCGCCTGCAAGAGCCAATACATCCGAGCCGAATCCACCGCCGCTGGCCCTTGTGGAACCAAGGGGCACTGCAAATATGAGTCGTGCATGGAATATGGTGCCAAGATCCACTGAATGGCTGCTGGCCAACTGCATATGGCTGTGGCTACTGATGCAGCGACAGTTCCGCAAAGTATCCCACCGACTACGCCCATTATCAAGATGTGCCGAACCAGATGAGTCTCACCTGTAACCATGGCCGCGCTGATCTTCACTGCGACGACATCTTCCAGGAATTGGAAAATCTCAACCAAGGGCACCAGGAAAGCGTCTGCGGCCAGCATGGAATTTCTTTCCGGCACTGTGAGGGCACGCTGGGTAGCGTTTGCAATCAGAATGGCGCAGTAAACCTCCGCGGCAATAAAAGCCATTATGGCGAGGCCGGCGAGGATGCGCAGCACGCGTCTAACCTCATGTCTGCGGAAGCCGAAGCGAGGTGAAAACGGCAAACGCTCGTTACAGTCTGGATTACTCGATTACCTCAGCAAGGCCAAAAAACGTAAATCTTAAAGGAAAAGAGATGAGTCCAAGCAGCACAGACCCCCGACTGAGACGACTCTGGCTCGTCCTCTTCGGAGTCCTCCTGGCTTTCGGAGGCCTCTTCTGCCGATTCCTCCTTCTTTTCGGAGGGCGGTGGGGTGGGGGGTGTGTGGGTAGGTGTGGGGTATCTATCGGCTTTGTTTAACGGGGTTCACAGAGAGAGGCTTCCGTGCTTCTTTTTGGGGGAGCTCTGGAACTTGGGAGCTGATGCCTCGGAGGCCTTGCTGCGGGTGAAGCCGAGGCGTCGGCAGAGGCCAGGAAGCTGGAAGGTCAGGAAGATCGCCGCAAAGCAATAGAGAGTGTTGTGGAGCTGGCACCTATCGGCTTCCTTGCTCACGGCGCGGGTGACGGTGCAGCAGCTGAATTCCGTCACTTCGCAAGTCGCCTCGGGATAATAACAAAGCCCGCCGGCTGCTGCCCGGGGCTGGACTTCAGTGTGGGAACCATTCGATTCAGAACGGTAGAAGACGAAGGCCGGATGCTGGCCACTCCCACGAAAATACTCGCAACCGATGCGCTCGCTGCCGCTCGCCATTTTTCAGCCCCGAGGTTGGAGGCCCTTGCAAAAGCCCTAACGATCTGATCTCGAAATCTAAATCCTGCGAGTCTCGCGGGTTGCGAGCCACATGGGAGTCTCACATTATCAAAAAGCCTATAGATTAATTTCTTAAGGACACCAATAGGTCATAGGCCTTAGGACGCCTATGGAAAGGCTTTCTACGTAAAGTCCACCTACTTGGAGAAACCACGACGTGCCCCGGGACTCCGCCCAAGATCCCGGCACCTAAATGCCATTGAGCCCAAGCACGGCACAGTGTTTGGGGTTGCTGTTGCAACTTCGGAGGGTGCATCCTCCTGTGTCAAGATCCTGCAGCTTTGGAGAAAGCGGATTCCCACACCTTGACTTAACTGACTCGCAAGCTAATGCACGGTGCCTCATTCAGAGCTCTTCGACCAAGCACAGCCGAATCATCGATACAGTACGATCAGTAGCCCTTGCCTCCTGCAGCAAGGGCTTGAGCTCGCCTTTCTCTCGCAAGTCCATGATGTTGTCGCAGCCACCTCGCCAAGGGTCCCACCCCAGCACTTCGGCCAAGCGCTCCGACAAGCCCTGACACCTGAGCTTTCTGGAGCACCACCGGCACCACCAGTGCGGTGGGGCATCTGGTCGTCCCTGAAAAGACGATCCTTGAAATTGGACAGGCCCGTGGGTTTCGATTCCATCCTGTGTGGTCCACGTGTCGACGCCCGACACAAAACCACATGCCAAAAGAAACGATTGCAAGTACCGCTGACCTCTCCAACCTCAAAGGCCTGAACTCGGATCACCTGACCTGTGCTAGCACCTCAAAATCTGAACCCTACATCAACTGCCGGAAATGCACTACCGCTCCTGCTACGTCCCAACGCAGCCCACCCCATCCGCAGCATGAAGCCGCTGCCAATGGAGCAGCAGCCACAGGACTTGAGCATTCAGAGAAAAAGCACAAACAAAAATGCATCCCAGCCAGCGCCTGGGATGAACTTGCCACCCACGAAGACTTGTGGCACGGACTGGGTCAGGCGGAGCGGGGGGGAAATGAGGCTTCTTTGTCTGCAACGGAGAAAGCCTAAAAAACTGCAGGGGTCGTGCGACAACATCGATGCCCGGGAGCCGATGACTGCGAAAGATGAAACAGAGGGTAACATTATATCCTAGAAGACCACACGTACAGCCCAAGAAGACAAGCCCGGTTTCTGAGGGCCTTCTTCTCTGTGATCTCCTTGACGGCCTGCAGTTCGACTCTTTGGTGTCATGCGGAAACCCGTCTATGAGTGAGCATGCATGATGGCATTGCAGTGTCCACCTGACAACTGGTGGTTCTGGTGGATGCATCGTCGTCTTAGCCCATCTTGTCCAGGGTAGCGTTGGGGAACAGTCGAAACCATTCTTGAGCTTCTTCAGGAGGGAAATGTGAAAACTTCAGCGGCAAGGCTTCTTTCCCCATGAAAAGCCCTGAACAGCTCTGCGGTGCTGAACCTCCATGAAGTCGAGTTCATCCGGGCGGTGATCGGCTTCGACGACCTGCAACTTGTGGATTGAAGTTCTCTCTCCCTACAACGAAATAGGCAAGTAGTGTTTCGTAGACTGGCAACAACAGCTGAAACCGCGATTACATGATGACATCATTTTCACTCACACAAGTCAGGCAAGGCGTCGCAACAATCGTCCGCTCAAACTCAACTACACCTCAGTCCAGAACCACCAACTCCTACAACAGTTTAGGTAATCGCGCTACAAGCTGAAGGCTCCACAAATCTGGACTACATCTGCGTGTGTTCATGTGGAAGGGCTCTTCAATCCCATCCAGATGGCTGGGTTTGCCACAGGGCGGCCTACACGGCGTGTAAATCTAATGCCTTCCGGGTGGAGGAAGTCTTGTAAGTCAGCACAAGACAATTTCAGAAAGCATGACATTGTACCCCGACTACAAGAACTATCGGAATGCAATCTGTGGCAGGCGAACCAACGAATGCTTGGGAGGTATAGGAGACCCTGAGAAAATAATCTATGTCTGGGGACGTATGCAACGATCCCGACAATCTATGCTACCAGTAGAGGACCTAGTCCAATCGACAAACAGAGAGCACCAAGATCCCCTTCTGGGTTTTGCGTGTCCGGTAGGTGGCGCGGCCTTGAGATCACTGACGCTCAGGGACTGGAAGGCAACATTCACCTTCAACACGGGGGGGAGGTAAGAACTTAAGTCTTTTTTCGGCGCTCTCGGACACGCCCTGAGTGCGTGGTCGGTAGGAGGTGAGACCCCACGTTTGAGGAGGGATGAACACAGATAGATGTTTAGCCGGGCGCCAGGTGAGGGTTCCAAGGACAGGCTTAGTCACTCCACGTCTCCAGGAAGCGGTGCTTCCCGCCTTCATACTGTCTCTACTCAACGTCCATCCAGCTAATGCCCCCAGAGCAGAGGCTCCCTTTTCAATTTTCGTCTCTAGCACCACAGCGACTCAAGAAGCCGAGAGCTACAGTGCCTGCTTAGGCCCTAGGCCCTAGGCTCTTGTAGCTGTTCTACCTTTTTTAGGCTCCCCCTTGGAGCCGCTGGCCCTGGCCCAGCATAGCTTTACCGGGCAGCCTTGGTGCAGAATGGACACCATGACCTGAGACAGAATGAGCTTGCGGAAAACACTGCATGCCGCAGGAGTTATAAAGGGATACTTAGGATGCTCACCATCTGTAGCTAGAGTTCGTGCAACAAACGCAGCAGGGAGATGCGGGCTGGAGGCCGGCGTGCGAAAAAACAAGTTCCGCACACGCACACATGCCCACGCCCGTAAGGACCGTAAGGACACGACTTGGCTATCACAACCACCTGGCATGAATCGAGGAGGAATGCACTTCGTAGGTACTGCGGCAGGAAGTCCAAGTATGTGAGCAGCACTTGATGTCAGCAACTTGCGATCTGAGGGCCAAAGCCACGATCCGCAGCCGAAACTGCGAACATAAGGGACCCTAACCCCGCAAGAACAGGATCCCTACGGAGTACCTATATGGTAAGGACCCCCGAAATATCCACCGAAGGGATAACTCGACGGCTCACCGCATGGCGGAGCCAGCCTTGTGAGAGCCCACGATCTCTTCGATTTCGGCCTTCTGGGACATTTTCGCCAAGGGCTCCTGGTTTCGGAAAACCCGCGGTCTATGGCCTGGCTCCTTGTAGAATTCCGTTGAATTCGGGACCTGGGCCTATCTTAGCGAGGCTTGCTTTTGTTGCGACTCAGGGGCATGAGCTCCAGACATATGGGGAGGCTGATGTCAGTCATATGCCTGGAAGCCAGGACTCCTTCCTTCAACTGGGCACCAGAGACCCTTTTTGTTCTCTACGGAACTGCAGCCCTGCGGCTATCCGACATTCAGGGTTTGGGGTGGCGGAGCCCGTCCTCCGAGGCTGTGCCGACAGCAGGAGCAGGGGTGGATTTGCAGCTGCCCATGCGGGTCCCTGCAGCAAAGTCCGATCAGCAACTCGGCGTCTTGAAGTGCAGGCAATTCGTGCTACAGCTGCACAGGAGATGTGAAGAGATGTGAACACGTGTCAAGCGGCCTGGAGCAAAGCCCCGCGGAGGAAATCTTGAGCCGAAGTTCCGACCGAGCAGTGGTCTCTACTAGCCGACTACACGATTAACCTTTCTCTCCAAGACCGTCGTGTCCAGCACAACCCATGGAGACGCAACGATGCCACCCGACGGAATAGAGCTCGGGGACGGCCGCCGCAAAGGGACAGGATGAAATCCAGCTGATTCTTGTCAGCACCTCGAGCAACCTGGCGCTGTACCTATGCAGGAACCTGAGCAGGAAAACAATGTGACCCAGAAGAAAGATCTAGATGTTCTCCCTGACATGTTGAAGATGACCACTGGCTCCAATGTAATGAGGCGAAGAGGCTGGGCGAGCTCATCAAACTTGAAAGTAAATCCTGGGAAATTCATAACAACTTTGACCAGGCACTCCAATCCCCAAGACCTAAGATGAAATCCAACCCGGAAAGACTAGGGCAGCGATGAAATCGGGGCTGCCGCGGCTGCCTCTGGACAGGGCCTGCCTGTGCTCAGTACCAGGCACTCTTGTGGGGGAGGTCCACGAATATGATGGGAAGAGCGCTATGATACTGTCTGTCTGCAGCAGAGCGAGCACAATAATGGCAACAGCTACAGCTATAACCCCAACCACAACCACCAACTCACGACGAAGACGTTCATGGAGACGATCCGATACTTGGCACTTCTCGGGCAGCTCTCATGCGCACCGAAAAACGCTACACTCGGCATCCGCAGCTCTGCTTTCCCAACTAAATGCACGCTTCTTCACGCACCCCAACCTGCAAACATCCCATGAAATCTTGCCAACTGGGCGAAATTGAAAGCAATAATGGCGAAGATCAGTCTACTATTATCTACTCTTCTTTCTATTCTCAAGCTCCGGAAGAAGCCTGCCAATTACCCGCATACAGCCGGGTGAACCAGAAAAGCTGTCCCTTGGCCAAAGCAAGAACACCGAGCGCCCAAGAGGCTGCCTCGACAGCCGTGGGCTCGCCGCCTTCCCAGAAAGCTGAGCGTAATCAACTGTCGGGCTCTGTGACACAGGTCTATGTAGCAAGGACTTGGGGTACTCGCGAGACTTCGGCAGCCTAGATTTAAGCTTCATGCACAGGCACCAGGACAAGCCTGTGCTCCTAGAGATGCAAGGATTCCACCCCAAGACTTGCAAATCTAAAAACCCCGAACAAAAACTGCGGATCCAGCTTCAGTCCTCGCTGGCTGTTCTGGGGCTTGACGACCGTTGGCCTTGGTGCAAAAGGAAATGGCCCCATGGCCAAACTTGTTCGATCATCCTTGATGTTCGATTGAAACGGAAAGCCTGCAGCGTTTCGGAGTCGGGCAAGCTACTCCCTGCCACATCCACACACACACACACCGATAGAAGCTACAAGTCTGGCCGATTATGTTGGCAGAGAACCCCGTCTTTTTGGCTCGTCACTGGTTTCTGACCTTGTTCCGAACTTGCGTCTGCGCTCACATCTTGAACAGATACACTTCAAGCACGGACAGCCGCCAGCTAAGCCGAAGCGCCCAGACACCATCAGACCCCACCACCCTTGAAACCTAGCCGAAAGCTCCAAGAGACCTCTGCAACCTTCTCCCAAAAAAAACACAATTATAATCCTTCCAGTCTGCCAGCGTAGATCCTAGGACGACGACCACACCACCTCTCCCAGAAAACCACAGGCAAAGTGCTCTCCAACGTGCCACTGGGGGGTTTTCGACCTGACCATGCTTTTTCAGAGACCAACCCATGCCTCCCCCGTCCTTTGATCCTCGGCTCTTTGGGCTCTGAAGCACTACCCCAAAATCTTACACAGCCAGCTAAAGCAGCTAAACCCTAAACCCTACAGGCCCTACAGCATGTCTTGGCCCAAAGCTGTGTCTCAGCCATCTCTTGGGCCTGGCCCAGGCCGTAGAGCCTCGCAGTGGCTTTCTTGAAGGACTTCGAAGAACTTCTAGTGGAGGGTTCAGGGGTCGGTTTTCTGAAGGCTTTCGCAAGCTATTTTTGCTGGCTTGCTGAAAACAGTTTTCAAGTTCGAAGTCTGTTCGAAAACTCTTACAGTAGACTCACAGCGATGTTAAGTTTTCTGGCTTCTTTTGAGCGCCGTTTTCTCACGCCTCCTTATCCGCTTTGCAAAGCAGCCGTGTCTACACTACGATCAACACAGTTCAACAAAATACCCTCAGAAAAACCACCCTTTGGACTCAGCATCGTCAAAGTCTCAGGGGCTCTTTTTTTTTGCCTCCCACCTTGCAAGGACGAGCCCGGGTAGAGGGCTTTCGGCGCTCAAAGGGCTTTGGGGGTTGTGGGGGTTGTGAGGGCCCTAAGAAAATGCGGATAGCTTGAAGAGATTAGAGCTCTGCCTTACCTGAGCTTATAGGTCTGATCTGAGCCCTTGATCGAAACCGGCTCTAAACCTGTGTATCCCAACTACGCAATGCCGACTACGAGCCTTCTTAACCACGAAGGCCTGCAGGAGTACCATTCGCCCTTGCCGCTTCACTATCAGTTGATCGAAGTTTCAACAGTATCTGCATCTGCTAGGGCTAGGGGGGACGAGAATGGGGCAGAACCTATGCCTCGCAAGCAAACTCACCCACGCCTCTGCATGTGTCTGATTCGAGCTCGTCGCTGCCTCAGTCTGGACCGGCCGCAGGGGGCGATTCTAGCATGCTTGCTACAAGCAGATAGCTGTCATGCACGGGTGGCTTCGCCCTGAAATCAGATCCACAAATCGTGAAGGATGAGCGCATCCACTTGTTGAGACATCCTGGAGTCCGACGGAACGATGCAGCGCATCCAGATCCACGAAACTGCTCATGGCGGAAAGTCTTGCCACAATTGAGGGGAATGTCCAAAAGCCAACGGCGTCACGCGAGGCGAACGCCCAAGCAGATCATGTGAAAGCTCGTCGGGGTCAGAGCATGCTTCTGTGAACTTCGATTAGAAGCGCACTGGGGCCGAACGGCACCGTTGCATCGGTTCTCTCGGGTACTGTGGCTTGCCGTGGCCACGCCAACCGGGGCTGTGATAAGGACGAGCCCGCATTGCAGGGTTACCAGGAACACCTTGTAGGGTTTAGGCTTTAAGGTTGCTTTTTTCGGGAAACCCCTCCCGACCGTCTTGCCCTCTTCACTTGGTCAGTCGGGTCCCCGGACTCTTCAAAGGATGCCGCCTTCCTTGGCACTCGCTTGGAGAGTCACCACAGGGCTTTGTAGGGTTCAAAGAGGATCTGAGAAGTCCCTGATTAAAGGTTTTACCTCTGATTGAAAAGGTAGTAAAAAAAGGCTTTAAAGGTCCTTACGGAGCAAAGCCCGTCGCATGAATGTGGCTTCTGAATTGGGTCCTCCGAAGTACCGTCCTCACAAGAACGATCCGACTGTTGTGAAGATGCTTAGTTTGTAGGAGTCTTCCCCGTCGTTGTAGTGATGGTGCGGATGTGACCTTTTTTTTGCATCAGTTGACAAAACACACTCACAAACTCGGAATCCAACACAAGATGTACACACTGCATAGGCTCAGTGGTGAAAACTGTGTATGTCCAAGTCCTGGTTGATGTCGCTACTACTGAGTTACTACTGGCCCATACAGCACCTCCACCGGCTTGCACTTCAGGTGCGATGCACCCAAAGCGGAACCAAGCATGTTCGCTGGCCATTCTAAAGAGCCGTCACACCATGCACCACCCTACCAATCCCGAAAAACATCGGCAGCCCAACAATCCAAGAACCCCAATAGACCACAGGGAAGGGTGGTGGGGCAACCGATACAGAATATGGCCCTGCTGCGAAGAAAAAGCCCCAGAGTGCAAGCCGTCGCAGACGGGCCACGGCGGCTTCCCGGACGCTTTTCTGGCACCTCCTGGCGCTGGTTTGGAAATTTGCTTAGCCATACTTGCTTCATAGTCATATACAATGTATATGCGATCTATGGATAGAGAAGGGAGAATATGAAAGGAGACATGCAGGAGCTCTGGATCCCTCCAGCTTCGGGCTTTCGGCTCGAATTACAAGCTCTCTTTTGACGTTCGGATTGACTTCCTCTCTTCGGGGGCTGAAGCCGCAAATCGGTTTGCTTGCTTGCTTGGGGTTTGGGGACTAGGACCCTGGCCCGAAGGCCTACCCCCTCGATCTGTGTCGGTGAGTCTGTGAGGCCCCTTTCGGGGATGCAGACGATCTTGTTCCCCCTGATGTGCTCGTGAACCCTAACCCGAAGGAACACCCCTGCTAAGATCGTGACCATGACAAACCTCGAGGTCATCCAAGGGTCTTCCAGATACAGCTAGAGGTGGGCGGGTACCCCTCTTTTTGCAAACAAGACAAGTACCCCTCTCTGTGCTCACAAAAACAGGACTGTCAGGGCAGAGAGAAACCTGATTACAGAACGCCTAAAAAATAGTAACGCTGCATTTGTTCCGCAAGGCGGTCCGGTCGCGGCCACCTCGGGCTAACCCTCAATGTGAAGGTTGCATGAACTCGCATGAGAAGCATGGAAGGAACAACGCCATGAGGAGCACTAGAAACAGTAAGTACAAAATACACCCCATTAAAGGCTCAGTGCTACCTACTCAGCTTCTATGTCCTTGCTTCTCCGCCATCACATGGGGGGACTCGTCGTATTGGAGGTGGCACTATCTGCTTTTCGCAAAGCCAAGAAGACAGGCACGACTTCTGTCTGTCGAGAATTTATACGACATGCCTCAGTTACGCAAGAGACACAACCCTTACCCTAAGCCCTCAACCCTAGACAGACTGCTGCTGGAAATACTGCCCGACAAGAACCTTGCCGGCCGGGATCGGCCCGTGGAACGCCACGCAGGCCTCGATCCCGGCGTCATCTTGCTGGCGGAGTCAAGCTCAACAGGTCTCGCTAGATGCCGAACCCAAGCCGA